ATGCTCTGGGAGCACGGTGCTGGGGCAGGGGATGCTCTGGGAGCATGGTGCTGGGGCAGGGAATGCTCTGGGAGCACGGTGCTGGGGCAGGAGATGCTCTGGGAGCAGGGGATGCTCTGGGAGCACGGTGCTGGACCAGGGGATGCTCTGGGACAGGGACATGGTGGCACTGAGGGTGCAGGAGCCCCGTGGATGCTGTGGGTCCGGCAGTGCTGTGGGCAGGGCACACTGCAGGTTGTGGGATGCTGTGGGTCCGTGATGCTGCAGGGCACATTCCTGCGTGCCTGGGCTGATGAGCTGTGGCTGTGTCCTTGCCAGAGCAGGAAATGCATTTGAGGCATGTGGAGAGTATTGACTGCACCGCAGGGACGATTTCATTAGTTATAACTCATCCATAATGAATCGTTTCCTCGGTGGGCAGAGGAGGCTCTCCAGGAACTGGCAGGCAGTTTGACTGCAGACAGGCTATTTCTGGGCAGGTTGTTTTCCTGCTGATCCCTGCCCACGTCTGTCCATTCCCACCCAGGGCAAGGGCTCAGACTCATCAGCACCAGCCCAGGCACAGCTCCCTGGGTCTGGCCCCCAGCACAGATCACAGCCGTAGTGATTCAGGGCTCTGGGAGCCACAAGCCATGTGATGTGCCCCAGGGAAGGGGAAAACAAGCAAGGGGTCATTACCCGGGGGTCGTTGATGCCTGTGATCCTCTCCTCAGGTCGGTCCAACACCAGGAAGGCTGCCAGGTTGGCAGTGTATGAAGCCACAATGATCATAGCAAAGCCAGCCCACACCATGCCAAGGATACGGGCAGAGAAACTCCGGGGAGCACCTGCAGGGAGAGAGGAGGGATCAGAGCAGCACCACGAGGGCTTGGCTTGGTTGCCAAAGCTGTGTCAATCCTCATGAGCCTAATGGCAGCTGCAGATGTGCACCATCTATCTGCTCTGCCAGCAGCTGTGCAAGGAGCCTCTGCATTGCCTGAACCAAAAAAAGCCTCCAGCTCCTTCCAGGGCATGCTGTGTGCCACCCTGAGAGGGTGGGTAACCCTGGGCAGGACAAGCAGCCCAGGTTTCCCTGCCCTGTTTCCCACCCGGGGCTGGGGATGGCAGGAAGCCCTGACACCTGCCACAAATGTGCTACACTCAGCAGCACCAAATCTCCTGCAGCCTGCTTCAGGGAGGGCTCAGGCAATGAGGTCCCACAGGGTCCATGTGAGAGGGGGAGGCTGTGGAGGAGGGCAGGGACTGCCCCCCAGCCTGCCCAGCTCAGAGCCTGGGCTGCAGGGCAGAGCAGCCCTGCTGTGAGCTCTGACTCACCTTCTCCAATGCCAGAGTTCAGCAGGACTCCCCAGGAGAACCACATGGCTGAGGAGAGAGTCAGGGCATCTTCCTCCTCCTCCTCACTGTTTACTTTGAACCGGCCAAATGGACTGGAAAACAAGATGAAGAACCCTTGTCATTCCCCTCACCCTGATTCCCAGGGCTCCCCACTGTGCCCCACATATCCTGGTGCAGCCCTGTGTCCCTCATTCCTACAGACTGTGCCTGCTCCCAGGCAGCTCTTCCCTATTGTGGCACATCCCCGTGCTGACCTGCAGCCCTGCCTGGCTCACACTGCTGCTGGTCCCATCTCACTCTCTCCAGACCAGAAAGATCATCTGACCCTGGCCTGCTCGAGCCTCTCCCACTGCACACAGAGGGCTCCCTGCAGATCAGCCATCAAAGCCTCTGGGCACAGGGCTGAGGCAGAGACAGGTGCCCTCAGAGGAGCTGCCACAGGGCCAAGGAAGGCCAAGAGGAAATTCTCTCAGAGCCCAGAAGCTGACAGTGCCCTTGGTCAGGGATCTGCACAGCACCTGCTCTGACAGGTGTGTTCCACATCCCCACGTGCTGGGTACCCCAATATCCACATCCCTTAGCTTAGGCAGCCAGAGGGGCCAGGAGCTGGTGGGGCAGAGCAGGTGGGGTAAGTCCCTGTGAGAGCTCCCAAAGGGCTGCAAGACGTGCCCAAGCAAGGGACCCAGGGGACAGTTCCCAGGAGCACCTCCCTGTCCCCTCCAGATCCCGAGTGGCCCAAAGTGCACTCACCTGAATCGGTCTAAGAGGTACAACATCACTGCCACCACGTGCACAGACAGTCCCACCAGCAGCCAGAGCGTGCTCTGGAAGGGCTGCATGAACGAGTCCAGGGTGCTGCGGGGGATTTCCTGCACACAGGAGAGAGGGAACAGCGCTGGCACCCCCCAGCTGCACCCACAGGGGCCCTGCCCCAAGCTCCTGCTGCTCAGGAAGGCTCAGTTGGTGCAGACAAGAGTCTACATTAAAACCAGCAGCCTGGAGGCTGGAATTTGCAGGGGCTGCTCTGGGCACTGCAGTCTGGGGAACGGACACCTCCCGTGTTCTACAGAAGCTCCCACCCAGGCCATACCTTCTTCACGAGGATGGTGAGGCCCTGGTACTTGAAGGGCTTGGAGAACTCAATGTACTGAGCCCGCTCGTTGTTGATGGTGAGGGGAGCCACAATCATGTCAGCCTGGCCGCTCAGCAGCTCCCCCATCATCCCGTTCCACTCCTTCTTGTTGCTGTTGTTCACCTGCCAGGGAGCCAAGGCCGGGTCAGACCCCTGCCCTGACACACATCCCCCACCAGCCAGGACCCTGCAGTTTATAGGAATCCTGCATTGCCCTTCCACCCACCCTGCTCAGGAGAAGGGCGTGGGGGTGTTTCAACACACAAGACAGGCAAAGAAAGATCACAGGCTGCCCAAACTCACCCTCTCTTGGGTACCAAATTTACCATCAGCCACCAGGTGAACCTCGTAGGTGAAGTTCATCACGCCTGCCAGGCGGATGAGCAGGTCGATGCAGAAGCCGTAGCAGCACAGGGCCACGGTGGGACGGCCTGGGGGGGGGACAGGGGGCCATGAGTGGGGACAGCCCCAGCCAGGGAACCCCACAGCATCCCCCTGTCCCCAGGGACAGCAGCCACCCCACGGCTCGGGCTCCATGTGGGATGGAACCACCTTGTCCTTCAGGGCCATCTGCCTCCATGCTGCCTCCAGCCCCGGGGGTGTGGGCAGGCTGGGGACAAAGGGGTCCCATTCTTTGCCATGTCCCAGGGAGGTGGGCTCAGAGGGGCTGCTGCCCACCCACTGCAGGGCAAGGAGAGGGCTCAGTGCACGTGCTGGAGGAGTCCTGACATGAGCCCGGCAGGCTGAGCACAGCCCAGGACACAACTCTGGGGGGATGTTGTGCACAGGAAGGTGTGATGAGCCCAGGGGAGCCCTTCAGGTGGATTTGGGCAAGGCTGGCATTGCTGAGCAGCTCCCAACCCACACCAGGTGCTCACTCCTGATCCTGACACAGTTTCTGAGACAGTTTGGAACTGGTGCTGTGTCAGTGCAGCATGTGCTAAGGTGCCTTGGGGTCCTTGCTGCTGCTGAAGAGCAAGGCAGAGAGAATTGGAACATGTCAGGAGATAGAAATTTGGGATGCAATCCCTCAAAGCTGCCCTGGAGCCCATCCAGAAGTGAGACAATGGGAAAGAGTCTGCTGGGCTCAAATCCCTGGATCCCAGGGCCCAGCTGCTGTGAGGCTGAGCTGATGGGGAGGAGGGTGTGTCTGGGGGCCAGCTGTGCTGTCACCTCTCTGTGCCTCATCCTCTAGGCCTCCTGGGTGACTGAGCACCCTCCCTGGGACCCCTTCCTGGAATGGCAGTCCCCAGCAGACTGAGTTACCTGGGATGGTCTCATTGGGTCCAGTGCAGAAAACCTTTTTGACAGGGTCTCCATTGATGGTGAATTCCTCCCTACATGTCCCATCTGCCTGAGTGGGCTTCACATACACAAAGGGCTCTTGGTGGATGGTCACAATCTGTGAGGTGAAGCACAAACACCCTCTGGTCTGTGTTTCCCTCCAGAGCTACATTCCCATGGTGGGAGCTGGGCTGCCCTTCCCACATGAGCCGTGGTGCCCTCCCCAGCTGCCATCTCAGCCCAGCAGCTCTGGCATGTGGAATCAGAGAAACAGAGAATCCTCTAGGCTGGAAAAGACCTTTAAGAGCATGAAATCCAACTGTAAACACAGCATTGCCAAGAAGAACACCAAGAATATTTGCTTTCCCTGCACCCAAGGTGAGGAGTGTCCTCCTTCATGTGGCCCTTTCAGCTGAGCCCCAAAATCTCTTTCCCTAACAGGAGACTGATGGGAGACACAGCCAGGAGTGGTGCCTGGAAAGGGGCTGCAGACACTGCCCCAAGTTCATGCAGGTGTTTCAGTCCTGCCCTAGACCTTTGAGAAAAGAAGCAATCACAATGTTCCCATAGCACCTCTGCAGGGACAACGCTGCCAGTGGGAATGGGATTTCCCTTGCTGGACAAATGAACAGTGCAACAAATGAATGGCCAAACTGGGAAGATCAGCCTGGCCAGGGTCCAGTCACTAAAGTGGGATCTGGTCACTGAAGGGGCTGCTGAGGGACACTTAGAGGAAGAGCATGAGAAGCAAAGCAGGACTGGTGGGACCTTCTGCCAGTGTTACCTCCAGCTTCTGGCCATCAGCTCCTCACGGATATCCTGAGTTCAGCCTTGCAGTCACCAATCTGCCCATCCTTCACAAGAGGGTTTAATCTGCTTTTAGATCTGTCTCCACCTGCCCTCTGCACTGTCTAACGGAGCTGAACCATGCCTTGACCAAAGGAGCCAAAGGAGCCCATCCTTGCATTTCTCACAAATCCATGACAGGTGTCCTCTGGCTCCCATGAGAAATGGTGAGCACCTTGCTCCTCCACCTTTCCGTGCTGTTTTCTCTCCTATCTACTTCCCACCTGTCTCTTTCCAAACCCAAGGATGCCTGCTGCCCTATCGAGATTGACTCCAGCTGAAAGTTGTGCTTTGAACATGCTCCAGATTTCTCTCCCATATCCTCTCCTGGCCTTGCAAATGCAGCTGCCAGCTGCAGAGCAGCCATGGAGGTGGGAGGCAGATGAAGTCACTGCCCAGCACACAGAGAGCAGAGAAGCTCTGCCCCTAATGCCATTTGCTCTTACCTTCAGTTTGGTTGACATCTGATAGCCTTGAGGTTTCTCAGTTTCCCCTCCTGGCCAGATGATCTTCCTGTCATTGGTCAGGACCTGAGATGGATCCCAGAGGAAGCAGATGGACATGAGGCCAAGGAGGACAGCCCAGTGCCAGCCCTCCCCACCCAGGCCAGCCTGCACGTACATTGCTGCCGTTGTAAATCCCAACCTGGACCAGTTTTCGGTTCTGCAGGTTCATGATGCTGTAGTTGGCAAATTTCCTGTCCCCGTCCTCATTGAACTCCACCCGGCCGGTGACACCCTCTGAGTACTTGGAGGACATCAACACCCTAGGGAGAGAAACACAGCTGGACAACCTAGAACACCTGCTGTGCTCCTGAGGTGCCTCACAAGGCATCAGAAAGGCAAATGCTTCCTCTCAGTTCCCTGCCATGAGCTCACTGCCCTGTACAAGTCCGGCCAAGGCTACCTATGGTCTGTTCATAGACCTGTGGCCATCCCCTCCTGGTGGATGGAATCAGTTTCCCAAATGTTCTCTGCCATATCTGCTGCCATTGCCCTTGTTCTCTACCAGATCAGTCGCACTTCCCTTTGGAATGATCCATCCCACAGCACCCAAGGACTTTCCTCTGGGTTCCTTGGGAGATGTGCCCATTGCTACAGCTTTGGTGCTGTGCCTGGCATCTGCCCACCCCGCCTGGCGAGTGGCCCAGGCACACACAAACACCACCAAGGAGAGAACCAGCCCCCAAACCCTGGGAAGGTGATTGCAGAGACACACAAGGATTGCCTGAGTCACTTGTGAAGAACAGCTTTGACTCACTCATGCCAAAGACTGTCACTGCAGGGGATGCCTGAAACGCCTCTAAAACCATCTCCAGGCCTTGCAGGTCTCATGCTGCACAGAACCCAGTCTGTAGGGAGCGGCTGCTGCACCAAGGCCCAGCCCCTGTGGCCCCAGCAGCTGCAGTGATGCAGGGATTGGGGTCTGGAAGCTCATGCAGGACCTGCAGATCCCCCTGCCCTGGCAGCAGCACCCCACAGGTACATGCTCCCATTGGTGACACTCCAGCCTCCACATCCACAGCACCAGGGTTTGCTACAGCCAAGGGCAGCCTGTCCCATGCCTGGACAGCTCCTGCCACCAAGCCCTGCGTGCAGCACTGGACCCATGCACAGCCCTTGGAATGCTCAGCAGGAAACATGTCAGCAGCACTGAGGTAAAATGGGACATATCCCCCTGCCTTGATTGGGCAGAACCCCCCTCTCTCCCATATCCACCCATGGAATCAAGCTCCACACTGGAGGAGGCCACAGTCCCCAGTCTTCTCCTCCTGGAGTCATTCCCTGCCCACACATGCCAGGTGTCCAGGCATTGCCCAGGGTAGCATGGGTTGACATGGACTGAGTTGGTGCCAGGCAGCAGGATGATGCCTAAACAGCCTGGAAAAAACTGGGTTCCATTGCCTGAGCCTGTGTCTGGGAGAGTTTTCTAGGACATGTGTAGCCCTCACATCCAAATCATGCAGGACAGTCCAGGCAGCCCTGTGCCACATGCCCGAAAGCTTTAGTTGGCCCTGGACAAAGCCACCATGTCCTCCTGCACCTTCTCCACGTGCTCCCACCTTTTCCAGCTCTCCCCCACCAGGTCCTCTGCTCCCTCCAGCAGGACCCTTTCCCCAATACCTCTTAAAAAGGGGTCCTGTCTTCCAGATGTTGGTGTTGCCCACGCAGCCCCGCGGTGGGTCTGTGATATTCTCCTTCTCGAACAAGTCGTGCACGGCCTGGGCCACCACGGCGACAGCGTCACTGATGTGGGCAGACTCGTTCTTGCCGTTGATGAGCTGCAGGCCGATCACTCCTGCCGCGGCACAGGGGATGGTCAGGTCAGCACTCCTGAGAGCCCTGGCTGCTCCAGCGTCACTGCCGTGCCCAGCTCTTGGCACAGCGAGCACAGGGCTGCGG